GCCTTCTGGTGTCCCATTGTCTACTGATATCCCATTGTCTACTGATATCCCATTGCCTTCTAGTATCCCACTGCCTTCTGATAGCCCATTGCCTACTGATATCCCAGTGCCTTCTGTTATCTCATTGTCTTCTGATATCCCATAATCTTCTCACATCCTATTGCCATCCCGCAGTACACTGCCTTCTGGTGTCCCATTGTCTACTGATATCCCATTGTCTACTGATATCCCATTGCCTTCTAGTATCCCATTGCCTTCTGATAGCCCATTGCCTACTGATATCCCATTGCCTTCTGTTATCTCATTGTCTTCTGATATCCCATAATCTTCTCACATCCTATTGCCTTCCCGCAGTCCACTGCCTTCTGGTGTCCCATTGTCTACTGGTGTCCCATTGTCTACTGATATCCCCGCAGTCCACTGCCTTCTGGTGTCCCATTGTCTACTGATATCCCATTGTCTACTGATATCCCATTGCCTTCTAGTATCCCATTGCCTTCTGATAGCCCATTGCCTACTGATATCCCATTGCCTTCTGTTATCTCATTGTCTTCTGATATCCCATAATCTTCTCACATCCTATTGCCTTCCCGCAGTCCACCGCCCACACCGTGTCCCATTGTCTTTTTGGTAACTTCAGGGTTCTGGAAATAAAATTATATAATATATATTTCATGTAAATTTGTTCCAGATCTAGTTATATTAGCCAACGATGGATCAGTATCTGATTTTACTATATGATTATTTAATTGTTATTATTGAATTATTTTAGACGATTCAGAGTCTACAATAGTAAATAGTAATGTTGTATATACGTTTTACTAAAGGGAGGAAATTCTCTGCAATTCTATTTGACCACTGAGGGTCCAATTTTTGATAGTAGTTTAAAACAGTATCTAATCGACTAGAGAGATACAAGGGCCAATTCGTCATAAGCCTTCGGAGTACTGTAATTCGAAGCATTGCACGGAGGTACAATAAGTATTTCTTAATTAAAGAGAATATCCACTCACCCACAACTCTCCTTCTTCCCACTCCAATATATTCCTTCTCTTCCCCTGTAATGCCCTCTAATTCTTCCTCCTCAATGGCTGTTTTATCCCTTCTTCTATAATCTTCTTCGTTGTTCTCTTCCATCCCATCGTATCGCTACTCTCTCCAGTATTGCAAGCACTTGGTACGGCCCACGCATAAGTATCGCATTACTTTCTAGTATTTCATTGCCTTCTTATAGCTTTCTGGTATCTCACTTCTCTCTTGTATCATTTTTGATAATCCAGAGGCTTCTTGTCACCTATTGCTTTACCTTGTATCTCATTGCTCTATCTTGTATCCCAGTGCTTTATCTCATAGCTGTATCCTGTTGCTTTATCTTGTATCCCAGTGCTTTATCTCATAGCTGTATCCTGTTGCTTTATCTTGTATCCCATTGCTTTATCTCATAGCTGTATCCTGTTGCTTTATCTTGTATCCCAGTGCTTTATCTCATAGCTGTATCCTGTTGCTTTATCTTGTATCCCAGTGCTTTATCTCATAGCTGTATCCTGTTGCTTTATCTTGTATCCCATTGCTTTGTATGATTTCCCATAGTTTACCCCTGTATTCTGTTGAATTAACTTGTCATCTGATTTAAAACAGATCAAAAATTTGTTCCGGTTTTATTAGCTTTTTACCTTAGCCACTTCAGTTAGGGTCTAAAGACGCCGCTCTTGAACATCCGTTTGATGACACCACCAGCCAATAAAATTCCTACTCTCTCCAACGCTGAGATTTTGTGACGCAATCTAATGGTGCATTTCAATAAACATTAGACACTGACTGCATAAACACATAGCTTTATCTTGTGTCTCATTTTTTCTTATCTCATATCTTTATCGTGTTTCCCATCAGTTTATCTTGTATCTCATTGCTGTATATTGTATCCCATCGCTTATTTTTGTATCTCATTGTTGTATCTTGTATCCCATTGCTGTATCTTGTATCCCATTGCTTTATCTTGCATTCCATTGTTTTTTGGTCTGCCATTGCCTTCTAGTATCCCATTGTCTTGTGGTATCCTATTGTCTTCTCGCATCCAAGTATATTATCGCATCCCGTGTTTATCGTCCATTGCATCTTTCGATTTCGAAATCGCTGTTCTTGCAAAAATTGTCCTCATTGTACACTGTATAGCAATATTCTTCTTTATTAGCTTAAATCTTGGGCGGGGAAGTGTCGTGTCGCGTTGCAGCTTACTACTTTCGTTTTATCTTTTAGGTCAACTCATGAAAAGAAGTTATACCCTATCCTCCAGCCCCAATATGTCTGCACAACTGCGACTATATTGTCGAAGTCTGGGTGTCCTGGACCAAGAGTTCCACCCTTTAAGACTTTGTCATCCAGTCTTTTGTAATTTTGACCAATCATAATCTTTGTTTGAGAAATAAACACGACCATGCTGTCATACATGCGGTCACGGCGTGATCGGAGTTGCATCATCACAATACCGGTTTTTATGTGAATTAAAATTTCAGGTACCGGTTTATAAGGGAATTGTGATACGAATTTCATCATTTGTACGATTAGCAGTGTACGTGAACAGTTACTAGTAACAAGCTTAAGGTATGATTTTACTGTCTTTCTTGTTTTAAACCATGATTGTCCATCTGGTGAATATGAAACGCGTCGTCTGCTATATAGTACGATATAATAATATAATACCTTCAGTGTTAAAATAATGCTCAATACATCAATTGAATAGATCGCACAGCGTGAAACTCTGAGTAACAATGTAATTTAGGTTCTGTTTTAATATTTCTATATATTTCTTATCGTATATTGTCGGCGTATTTAAATTAAAAAAAATTGGTCACTATTCAAATTTTGAATTAAGAATGTAGAATAGTTGAATCATAATTAAATTAAGAATAACATGTGTTAATGTTGCTGACAAAATTTCCCTCATTACACACAACTTGACGTTATCCGTCTTCATTGGTCGAAATCAGGTGCAGAGAAAGACGTAAAACACTTTATTTCGTGAACTAAATTTTAGGTTTTATTTCAACGAAGCGACATAGCGCCCAATTCTTACAATGAAATATATTATATAATTCGGATTTCAAAATTGCCTTCATTGCACACTTCATGACGTTATCACAATCAGGCGTAGAAAAGTAGGACGTATAACATTTTATTTACTAAATCATATGTTTTGTTATAATGAGGCGACGTTTCACCAAATTGGTATATAAAATATAAATGTGGATTTTGTAGCCTATTTATTTTACAGTGTTTATCACAATATTTACGTTTTCTCTATAGATTTATGGGTCATATCCTAGGGCTATTTATTACTACCGGTTTAGGGTTATTGTCTTCTCTATTGTCATATGGTGGAGGGTTTAAACTTGTCAACCACCTAACAAATGCCATCGTCTACCCAATAAAACTTAACGAGAACATTGTTCAATAGAAAATCACTTTTTAATTCATTCCAAATTTACATTTCATTTGTATGTTAGTAAACCCTCCACATAGGTCACGGGCTGACATAGTAAAAGTGTCAAATAGTGAATTGTGTATGCTAGTAGCTAACAATATAACAGGCAGTGGCGACGTTAGCCTCTCAAGACCGGGGTACAAATAATGGACTGACTTAATGAGGGAGATGGGGGGACAACCTTTCTGTCGAGACTGAATTCAGAAAGCGATAACTTTGTTGAAGCGACATAATAGCAAGTCTTTCACGGTGTGGAAAGGGTTCGTTCTGACATATATTTTGGGCCAAAAACGTATACATTTTTTTTTAAAAATTTGTTCAAAATATAACGGGGGTACAATTTCTTCTTGGTGTCCACTGTACACCCATTGACTCTGCCACGGATGATAGGTCTTGATTTCCCGTTCGTCATTAGCCAAATAAAGCCTCCGCCATATTTTACACTTGCGTCGCCCGCTTACAATAACCCATACAGGTACAGAAAAATATCCTAAGTAGTACGTAGGACGTAAAACATTCAAAGTAGGGCGTAGGACGCAAAACATTTAAAGTAGTACGTAGGACGTAAAACATCCAAATTAGGACACAGGCCGTAAAACATTTAAAGTGGGACGTAGGACGTAAAACATCCAAAGTAGGACGTAGGAAATAAATAATTCAAAGTATAACGTTAGACGTTAAACTAGGACATAGGACGTGGAGCATCCAAAGTAGGACAAAGGACGTAACCATCCAAAGTAGGACGTAGAACATCCAAAGTAGTATGTAGGACGCAAAACATGAAAAGTAGTACGTCGGATGTAAACCATCAAAAGTAGTACGTAGGATGTAAACCATCAAAAGTAGTGCGTAGGATGTAAAACATCAAAAATATAGGACGTAGGACGTAGAACATCCAAAGTAGGACATATGACGTAAAACATCCAAAGTAGTACGTAGGAAGTAAATCCTTCAAAGTAGGACTTAGGACGTAAATCATCCAAAGTAGTAAGTAGGACGTAAAACATCCAAAGTAAGGGCATAGGACATAAAACATCCAAAGTAAGGGCATAGGACATAAAACATCCAAAGTAGAACATAGGACATAAAACATCCAAAGTAGGACATAAAACATCCAAAGTAGGACATAGGACATAAAACATCCAAAGTAGGACGTAAAAAATTCAAAGTAGGACGTAGGACGCAAAACATTTAAAATAGTACGTAGGACGTAAAACATCCAAAGTAGTATGTAGGACGTAAAAAATTCATAGTAGTACAAAGGAAATAAAACATCCAAAGTAGGACATAAAACATTCAAAGTAGAACTTAAAACATTCAAAGTAGTAGGTAGGACGTAAAGCATTCAAAGTGGGACGTAGGACGCAAAACATTTAAAGTATGACGTAGGGATTAAAACTTCCCAAGTAAGACATAGGACGTAAAACATCCAAAGTAGTATGTAGGACATTAAGACATTCAAAGTAGGACATAGGACATGGAACATCAAAAGTGGGACATATGACATAAAACATATAAAGTAAGACGTAAAACATTCAAATTAGGACGTAGGACACAAAACATTTAAAATAGTACGTAGGACGTAAAACATCCAAAGTAGTACGTAGGACATAAAACACCCAAAGTATTGCGTTGGACGTAAAACATCCAAAGTAGTACGTAGGACGTAAAACATTCAAAGTGGTACGTAGGAGGCAAAACATCCAAAGTAGTACATAGGACGTAGAACAGCCAAAGTAGGGCGTGGGACGTAAAGCATTCAAAGAAGTACATAGGACGTGAAACATCCATAGTAGTACATATGACGTAGAACATCCAAAGTAGTACGTAGGACACAAAACATCAAAAGTAGTACCTAGGACGCAAAACATCCAAAGTAGTACGTAGGACATAAAACATCCACTTTCAAAGTAGAGCGTAAAGAGGACGTAGGACGTAAAACATTCAAAGTAGAACGTAAAATATTCAAAGTAGAACGTAAAACATCAAGAGAAGGACGTGGGACGTAAACCATCAAAAGAAAGACGTGGGTTTCTTTTTTTTTTACTTTTTGTGTATCACTGATAATAATTATTTGCAGATATCGTGCCATTCCAATTTGCAGTCAGACATCTGTTGTTTTGCGATGTCTTTTGGTCTTTATTATATTGACATCATAAAACGCTTAGTGATTTGGAATTACAACAAACACAGTCATCTGACTGAAAATTGGTGCAAATTGATGCTATGTGTCCCTGATACACATACACATCAGAATTTAAGAAAACCACTTTACAGACCCATTTTAAAAAAAGCATCTTGTATCATTAATTTTTTTCTTTCCAGGGCAAAAATGTGTGGAATTTGGGCATTATTTGGTAGCGAGGATGACGTTTCCAGCCAGTGTAATGCTGTCCATAAAATCACCCACCGAGGACCCGATGCTTTCCGCATAGAAAACATCAACCATTTTAGAAACTGTTGTCTGGGCTTCCATCGTTTAGCTATTGTAGATGATATAAAAGGCATGCAGCCCATGAGACTGTACACATATCCTCATTTATATCTGATTTATAATGGAGAGATCTACAACCACGAATTGGTAAGATTAACGGTATTGTAAACAGAATTTAAAGGGGTTGTAAACAGGCCTTAAAATGATAGAGGTTGTAAAGAGGCCTTGGGTGATTGTAAAGAGACCTTAAAGCGGTTGTAAACAGGCCTTAAAAGGTTGTAAAGAGACACATTAAAGGCGTTTTAAACATACATTAAAGGGATTGTAAACAGGCCTAAATTGGTTGTAAACACATTTAAAAGGGGTTGTACAGAGGCCTTAAAAGGTTTGTAAAGGGGCGCCTTAAAGGGGTTGTAAACAGGCGTTAAAAATAAGTAGGATCAGCATTAGGTAAAAGGTATTTTACAGTGAATCTTCATTTAGTATCCATTTTGTTCCGCGAGATAATATTTAAAATTCACATTAAAATTCCCAATCGACTACCGCACTAGTCACCGTACCACGTTCATTCCATGATTAAATCGATAAAAGTCTTTTCCAGTAAATATCACCATTAGTTCATCAAAATAATATTTAAATTACAGCTGGAGAAAGATTTTGATTTGAACACCAGTACCACGTGTGATGGGGAACCAATCATCCATCTGTATGCTAAACTCGGAGCCGAGATGGCAGCCAGTCAACTTGATGGAGTGTTCGCCTTCTGTATCCTGGACACAGCTAATAGAAAAGTCATCCTGGGACGAGATACATTCGGTGTTCGTCCAATGTTTAAGTTATATGACGAAGCTACGGGATTCCTTGCTGTTTGTTCTGAAGCTAAAGGTAACAGATTAAATTACACAGTGTTGGCTTTCACCCTAAATTGACCTATCCTTGACCGTATCTGGCTACATGAATATCTCCTTTAACTTTCGAATTGTCTAAACGTCCATACTTCTATCTAACGCGGAGTTGAAATACAGCACGTTATCTCATCGCATCTCAACCCTTTTTGTGATCCTATGATTAGCCAAACTTAACATTCATCACGACGATCTGCGAATCAAATCAAATTCTATACTTTTCATGTAAATTATTGCCAGATCTAGTGAAATTAGACAACGATCGACTAAACTGTAGACCGTTTAGTCTAGAAATAGAAATGATTATTTAATCATTATTATTAATTATTTAATCTAGAGTCTACAATAGTAAATAGTAACGTTTTATATACGTTTTACTCAAGGGAGGGAACTCTTTGCAATTTTATTTGACCACTGCAGCGGCTTATGAAAATTGTTTTAATAACATTTTTGTTTCTAGTTAAGGTATCTCTTTGGTTGCACAGAGTTGGTCAAACGACCACCTGTAATTAGTCTTTGGAGTACTGTAATTCGAAGCATTGCACGGAGGTACATTAAGTACCTCTCAATTTAAGAGAAATTCCCGTATACCCCGTCTGTTCAATCAACTCTTCCTCAACTAAACCCCTTATGACGTTCCTTCCCCATTTATCTGTCTATTCTTCCTCCTTTTCTGCTCTGTAATCCCCCTCTGTCTATCTAAGATACCTTCTGTTCTCCCAAATTAGGACGACTGTATCATCATCTCCCGAATCCGTAAAATTCATATCCTAGTTTCTTCCCCTCAACTAAACTTCCCTCTTGTTACTGTAACACTCTACTAAACTTCCCTCTTGTTATTGCAACACTCTACTAAACTTCCCTCTTGTTATTGTTTCATTCTACTAAACTTCCCTCTTGTTACTGTAACACTCTACTAAACTTCCCTCTTGTTATTGCAACACTCTACTAAACTTCCCTCTTGTTATTGTTCCACTCTACTAGACTCCCCTATTTGTTATTGCAACACTCTACTAAACTTCCTTCTTGTTATTGTTTCATTCTACTAAACTTCCCTCTTGTTATTGCAACACTCTACTAAACTTCCCTCTTGTTATTGCAACACTGTACTAAACTTCCCTATTAGTATTGTAACACTCTACTAAACTTCCCTCTTGTTATTGTTTCATTCTACTAAACTTCCCTCTTGTTATTGTTTCATTCTACTAAACTTCCCTCTTGTTATTGCAACACTCTACTAAACTTCCCTCTTGTTATTGCAACACTCTACTAAACTTCCCTCTTGTTATTGCAACACTCTATTAAACTTCCCTCTTGTTATTGTACCACTCTACTAAACTTCCCTCTTGTTATTGCAACACTCTACTAAACTTCCTTCTTGTTATTGTTTCATTCTACTAAACTTCCCTCTTGTTATTGCAACACTCTACTAAACTTCCTTCTTGTTATTGTTTCATTCTACTAAACTTCCCTCTTGTTATTGCAACACTCTACTAAACTTCCCTCTTGTTATTGCAACACTCTATTAAACTTCCCTCTTGTTATTGCAACACTCTACTAAACTTCCCTCTTGTTATTGTTTCATTCTACTAAACTTCCCTCTTGTTATTGCAACACTCTATTAAACTTCCCTCTTGTTATTGTATCATTCTACTAAACTTCCCTCTACTTATTGCAACACTCTACTAAACTTCCCGCTTGTTATTGTTCCACTCTACTAAATTTCCCTCTTGTTATTGCAACACTCTATTAAACTTCCCTCTTGTTATTGCAACACTCTATTAAACTTCCCGCTTGTTATTGTTATTGTTCCCTCTACTTTATTCTCCATCTTGCTATTAGAACGGGACTGTAGTAGAAAACTTGTTAGATTGCAATGAAGATGATAAATGTCAGAAAAACCAAAACGAAGTTGTATTTTGATATTGATTAAATTGGTTCAAACAAAGTTGATGGTGCAGAAAATAAGGACGTAAAACTCCATTCATTTCGTTTCAACCAAAGTTGAGTTTCTTTTAAACTGTAGTCTGGAATGATTATACACTGTTATATTGTAGAGTTTAGTCTCAACTGATCCTCCAATAAATACATAATTGATTCGGCTTCAGGATCTTTGCTCAATGTCCTGGTATAACAAACTATTATAGGACGGAGTTCGTGATACTGAATGGTGAGGATGCGTTTTTCTGGAATATGAATTACTCTCTGTATTTCAGGTTTATTTGGACTATCTCACAGTTTAAACGATGCTAAAGCCAGTATTGAACCATTGTTACCTGGTCATGTTGAAGTGTATGATCTAGATCAAGATGGTAAAGCCAGGTTTATGGAGAGGAAGCGATTTCATAAGATAGGAGATCTACCTAAATATAGAACACTAGCACCACCAGTAGGTGATGAAGTCCTTGCCAACATCAGAAACTTGTTTGAAGCAGCCGTGAAGAAAAGGTTGATGTCCGAGCGAAGAATTGGCTGTCTACTTTCAGGTACACGTAGTTACCTATGATGCTGCTGTCGATTGACGATCAAAATCGTCGAAATGGCACCAAAACTTTTCCTCGAAGCAATCACCACCACCACAGAGTTGAGCCATTTTCAATTCAGCCCCAGTCTCGGAAAGCTAGCGCCGCCACTGGAAGTAACTCTTATAAACATCGTGCTTTTGAGATCTGAAAGTATTTTTTGATTTGACTTCTTGTTGCATTGATTAGAACACTAATTGCGCCATTCCAATTTCACGTCAGACATCTATGATTTATACGTCTTGAAAGCAAGTTATAGCCTTGTTAAAACATCCATCTTCAGCTTCTTAGTCTTTTCGGGGGTTGATTTGAGTTTTGAAATATATGTAAATAGTTTGCACGAAAATCGAATAAAATTAGAAATATCACTAAGGTTCGATTGGTCAATCAGTTGGATCCAATTCTCTCTTAATCTCTAGCTTGCCATAATATTTCACTTTTCAATGTTGTTTTATAGGTGGTTTAGACTCTAGTCTTGTAACAGCTTTATTAGTCAAAGATGCCAAAGAGCAGAAGTTACCCTACCCTATCCAGACGTTCGCCATTGGTATGGAAGGTAGTCCCGACTTACAAGCCGCTAAAACGGTAAGCAACTAGCTTTATCATATACCAAGAACCCGTTGTCAAGAAGATGTTAATTTAAAGGGATTGTACCGAGGTTTTTCTGAAATTTTTATGTGTATTGGGACACTCATAGCATCAACTTGTACCATTTGTTACTGTGACAAAAGTTGATATTAAAAGTCGATTATTAGAACTAATACGTCATTATACGCTAATTTTAAGTGACTGATTGAAAATTGGTTACGTCAAACAAGTGGTGGTCGTAGGTTTTAATAGGTCTGCTTGAAAATCTGGTGACCTTGAATAAGACATCTTTTCTAAACAAGTGACCCAGCTGTAAATGGGTACTGATAATCAGAGAAGGATCCAAAATGTTTGGGCAAAAATCAGCTGTTATCCTTGAATAATCTATGAATGTTTCTTGTCAATTTGTAGGTAGCCAACTATCTAGGAACAGATCACCATGAAGTTGTCTTCACACCGGAAGAAGGTGTACGAGCAATTGAAGATGTCATATATCATTTAGAAAGTTATGACATCACAACTATACGAGCATCAGTTGGTAAGTGAACCACCCCCTTCCCCGAAATCCAATGTTTTCAGTTCAAATCACACTCTTCTAAAATGAAAAGTTTCCTAATTACCACAAGCGTCTGATTGAAAATGCTACTAGTCTTCCCAATACATATTAAAAGTTTAGAAAACCTCTTTACATAACCCTTTAATAATACCAAATTAGCTTTAGAATAACAGAAATATAGGACCTTTTATAAAATTTTCTTTCTCTTCTTTTGCTGATTTCTGAATATTTCGATGTTTTTCCACGATATTTGGTATATTTTAGGAATGTATTTAATAAGTCAGTATATCAGTAAGAAGACGGATACAGTTGTGATATTATCTGGTGAAGGTTCTGATGAACTAGCTCAAGGTTATATATATTTCCACAAGGCACCTTCATCCGAGGAGGGGGACAGAGAGAGCAGACGACTACTAGAAGATCTTTATATGTATGATGTACTCCGGGGTGATAGGACTACCTCGGCTGCTGGGTAAGATATTTTAAAGTAATAAGACTTACTGGTATTAAAGAAAGAAAGGATAAGGATTACAATTAGATTCTACTAGCTCAGTGGCGTTTGTAGGAAAAATTAGCTCACCAGCTGGTCCTTGGTCAAACCTCTCGATACTGTTTTCAGGGATAACAACTGAGGTTCTCAATGAACATTTCTACCAACTGGTCCGTGACCAATTCCCTACAGATTACCCTTGTCCATTCAATATTTAATGCATTTAACAAATAAAACAATATTAGGACTCTCTGTAACATATGACGAGGATTGTTAATAGGTTTAGGAATAGTCTGTTGGCTATCAGTTTATTGAATACCTAGTTTAACTATGTGGACTCTCCGAAGAGGATGTCGAGTTGACAATCCCATGATTGGAAAATGGCTCAGTGATTGATATATCCTGTTTGTTTCAGATTAGAAATTCGGGTGCCATTTTTAGATCATCTGTTTACAAGTTATTATCTGTCTATTGCACCTGAACAACGTAAACCAATTAAAGGTAAGAATAATCCCCTTGTGTACAGTTAGTCCTGAAAGAAATAATTAACTATATTTTACAAGGATAACAACTTAGGTTCACGGTTAAGGATCCTTTCTACCAGCTGGTCCTTGGCCAAACTTCTTGGCATTGATCTTTTTCGGATTATTCGTACTCATTTACAGCTGGGTCTACTGGAGTTATGAGTGAAGATGACCTTTTTAAGGTCATTGGACTTTCACACGCCGATCAAGATCAGAACCCACAACGCTCTTACCGAACTTTACAATATTCAAGGGTATATGACTGTAAATGAGTTGGTATTGAAAGTCGACATCGGACCTTTGGTCGTAGAATCAGACTACTTACAGGGTGTTTTTTTTATATAAGAAAGTGTTTACTGTGATAAAGAATTTGTTTCAGCCCATTTTTAACAAACTGGTGTTCTTATTTCAGGTATAGAAAAATATCTTCTCCGTTCAGCATTCAGTGATACTGGTCTTCTACCCAATGATATTCTATGGAGGCCGAAAGAGGCCTTTAGTGATGGTGTGTCATCTAAAACTAAATCCTGGTTTAGTGTCATTCAGGATCATTGTGATCAACAAGTAAGGAATTTTCTATGATTATTTTTGATGGTTTTGGAATTTTAGCCTGTCTTCATTTCTAAACTATCGTTGATATTGTCATGGACAGTTTTGACCAATGACCTCATGAAATTGAAAATGGATACTTTCCTCGAAAACCTAACCAACATGAATTCTAGATTTAAAGAAATACTGTTATCTGATTGGATGATGAATTTCTCCAGATCAATTGATTCAGTTAAGTTTTCGAGAATAAGGCCTCAGTGATCGACAAGAGTATACAATCTTATGGATTTTTTTTCTGAATATTGAAACGGATTGCTGTTTTTTCAATTCTATCAACCGACAAAGCAACCCAAAAGGGACAGAACATTCGAAGGAAGGGGGCACTAACCTAGACCTGTTATGGTACAAATTGAACTCGTAATTTTCCTAAAATAAGTTAATCATGTCAACATTTTTCAACTTTATTTTTCAGGTGAACGAGGATGAACTGGAACAAGCAGCTACACTTTATCCATTCAACACACCAAAAACTAAAGAAGCATATTATTATAGAAAAATCTTCGAAAGTCGTTTCCCCAACAAATCAAAATGGATTCCCTATTTCTGGATGCCCAAATGGTGTGAAACATCCGATCCTTCAGCTCGTACCTTGAAACATTACAAATAAATTGTGTTGAATATATACTGCAAGCTCAAGCCCGAATCATTTACATATTCATCTTCTTTCGTTGAAAATGTTAATAAACCATTTCAAAATACTGATTAATTTTAATTATTTAATTGATGCAAGTTCGTCAGTGGTGTTTCTATGAAGGGGTCAGACTATTAGTTTGGACTAATCCTAAAGGTCTTAAATGCCTGGTACTGTAAGTAATCCTTGGTCAATCTGAACACTGTCGAGCTATTACGAATTTCATCTGATAACTTGACTTCAAAAGCCACCGTGTTACAGAAGCTTGTAAATGCTAGAGAATATAGTCCACATTACAGGCTTTCTGTCGAGGGCTATCCTCGACAGAAAGCCTGTAAACATTAAGTATTTGCATTTTTCCGATGGGATTCTGTGATTGGTTGTATTCATTGTAATCCAATCAAATCACTGCATCACGTGATATAAGAAAACCGTAGACTGTTTTGTCTAGAAATAGAAATATTCTATTTCACTATATGATTATTTAATTATTACTATTAAATTATTTAATCTAGAGTCTACAATAGTAAATAGTAACGTTTTATATACGTTTTACTAAAGGGAGGGAATTCTTTGCAATTTCATTTGACCACGGCAGCGGCTTATGAGAATTGTTTTAATCAAATTTTTGTTGTTTGTTTATAATAGTATCTAATTAGTTGCACAGAGTTGGTCAAACGACCACCCATGATAAGTCTTTGGAGTACTGTAATTCGAAGCATTGCACGGAGGTACATTGAGTACCTCTCAATTTAAGAGAAAGTCCCATTGTCCAATATTCCCCCTCTGTTAAACTCTATAAAGTCCCTTCCCCTTTAATCTGTCTCTTCCTCTATACCATTGTTTTTTGCACTGTCTATC